GATGCATACATATTTATAATTGTTCTGTCCTCTAACTGGATAGATCCCTTTATCATTATATAATGAACTTCTTTAACTCTTTTTATGGTTTTTGGTTTGAAGTCTATTTTATCTGATATAAGAATAGCTACCCTGCTCATTTTTAGTTTCCATTTGCCTGGTCTATCTTTTTCCATCCCTTCACTTTTAGTCTGTGTTTGTCTTTATAGGTGAGGTGGGTCTCTTGAAGACAGCATATAGTTGGGTCTAGCTTTCTAATCCAATCACTCAGTCTGTGTCTTTTGAATGAGAAGTTTAACCCATTTACATTTAGGGTTGTTATTGACAGATATTGCTTTACTCCTGTCATTATATTGCTTTTTGTTTAGTGTTTTAAACATCACTTGTCCCTTTATTCCCCTTTTATTTTTCATCTTCAATGCTAGTTGCATTTTTGAGGTGATAAGACTTAGCTTCTTTCTTTTTCTCATTTGCATTATGGTTTCAATGGTGGGTTTTGCTCTTTCTTGTGAATCCATGATATTGATTATCATTTTTCAGATTCTGGATGCAGTACTCCTTTGAGTACTTCTGGCAGGGCTGGTTGTGTGCTAGTGAACTCTTTTAATTTTTGTTTGTCAGGGAAATATACTTTCTCCCTCATTTCTGAAGGATAACCATGCTGGATATAGGCTTGAAATTTTTTTCTTTTAGTCTTTTAAATATGTCATCCCATTTTCTTCTGCCATGGGAAGTCTGCTGTTAGTCTGATGGAGGCTCCCTTATAGGAGAATTGGCACTTTTCTCTTGCTGCTTTTAGAATTCTCTCTTTATGTCTGTGTTTTGCCAGTTTGACTATCACATGTCTTGGAGAGGATCTTTTTGAATTGAATCTGTTTGGGGATCTTTGGGCTTCCTGGATCTGAAGGTCTGCATCTCTCACTGTACCTGGGAAGTTTTCTGTTATTTCCTTGAATATGTTTCCAATGCCTTTTCCTTTCTCATCCCCTCTGGAACACCCATGATTTGGATGTTTGTGCACTTGAGGTTGTCTACTAGCTCTCGTAAATTTTCTTCATTTTTTAAAATTCTTTTTTCCTTTTTCTTGTCTGCTTGAGTTATTTCAAATAGACCATCTTTGAGTTGTGAGATTCTTTCTTCTGCTTGCTCTAGCCTGTTGCTCAAGCTTTCTGTTCTGTTTTTTATTTCATTGAGAGAATCCTTCATTTCCAGGAGATCTGCTTCATTCTTTTTTAAGTTATTAATCTCTTTGTAAGTTTTCTCCTTCATATCCTGGATATATTTTCTTGTTTCATTGTGTTCTCTAGTTGATTCTTCTGTTCTTGGGGTTTTCTTAAAATCAGTGCTTAGAATTCCTTTTCAAACATCTTAAGGGTTTCTTGCTCTGTTGCGTTTGGTACTTGAGAATTACCATAATGCTTTGATAGTGTCACATCTTCTTGTTTATTTGTAGTTCTAGTATGTTTATGCTGATGTTTGGTCATCTGGTAGAACACATAATTCTTCTATCACTCTGGAGTGGGTTATGGGGGGGAAGACTTCCTCCTCTTTAGGTTCTACTGGTGACTCTTCTTTTATCAATTCAGTTGAGTGTGAGGTGGGCTGCCTTGGCTACTGTGTGGTCAGTGCACAAGTGCTGCACATGCTCACTTGGGAGGTCCATGAGTTGGTTCAGTGGGGCCTGCAAGCCACTCCAGTGCTCACCCAGTTGCAGGCAGGCCCTGTGGCTGCGTCGGTCCCCCAGGCATGGCTCAGGTCCTGCGTGCACTCATCTAGGCAGCCCACATGGTAGTTCAGTGGGGACTGCAAGCCACTCTGGTGCTCACTCAGGTTGGGCAGGCCCTGCAGCTGCATTAGTCCCCCAGGCACAGTGTGACTCAGGTCTTGTGCACACTCACCTGGGCAGTCCATGTAGTTGTTTGGTGAGGCCTCCTTTTCTTCCTCTTTATTCAAACCATCAAACTCTCTGGAGATGCAAAAGTCCTCCTCAATTTGTCCAGGTCCCTCATGTCACCATGTTCCCTCACATCACCACAAGCCCTGTGGTTTTACCTCTGCATGGCTCCTCTCTGTCTGTGCAGTGTGTCTACCTCTGTAGTGAATGCCTTTTTGGTCCCCTGCAGACATTGCAGTGGTTGGGCAGTGGGGGAAGACTCGGCTCAGGCTCCAGTCTGGCCTCCACCCATCTTCTACAAACACAGATTTGCAAAATTAGCTCTCCTTAAATTATTTCAACAGCTTCTTATTGTCTATGAATAAAGCACACATATTTAATTTGGCATAAAAGGGTCTCACAGTCATATCCTTGCCTATATCATAGCTCAGTGTTTTAGAGCATGGACTCTGGAGGTCTATCACCAATGAGCTGTGTGACCTTGGGCAAGGTTCTTTAACTTTCTGTACTTCAGCTTCCTCCTTTGAAAACTGGGGATAACGACAATGGTACCATTCTCATAGGATTGGCACCAAACTTTCAGGATGG